ACACCAGCCAGACAGCCAAGCTCTCCTCGGAGCCCCACACTAGGCCAACACATTCAATGCCGGGGATCGATGGCGATGGTAGAGCCCTGAAAGGACAATTTTCCCGGATTAATAATGCCACCCCTCCCCCCCGGCCCACAGTCCGCGACTGGTGGAGGACAGAGAAACCCGGGGGCGCCATCTCTCGTAAGGTAACTGTTGCCCCTTCGCGCACCCAGGTCTCCGTCACACAAGCCAGGTCGACCCCCTGCGAGATAAAGAAATATCACAGGGTGGCAGTTTTATTGCCTATAGACCTGGCATTGCACAGCACCAGTGACGGAGGTGAGTAATCCTTGCTCACCCTACCCTCGTCCCTTGGGATGGGGCGCAGATTGGAAGGGGTACGAGCGTATCCATATCTCAATCCCCTTCGCCTATAACATCTGCCCCCACCGCCATACCTCCCTCGCCCCTCCACGGTAGCAATCCCAGGCCTCATAGTAGCCTCCATTGATGGCAATTAGTGTTATTCTTTCGCAGCCTAAAACAATAAAACCTTAAAACAATAAAAACAAAAAACAAAAACAACCCAGAAAGCAATAAAACAATACAAGTAACAACTGCAAAAATTACAAAATCAACGAAATCTAACAAATTCCCAAGCCACCCACACATCCATCCCACCCCCATATATAAAAAATCTAAAGGAAAAGGGAAATTTTAAAACATGTTAAAACATGTTTTAAAAAAACTCTGCACCCCACCGGGTCCTCCTGGGCAGAGTTATTCTGGGCGATACGGTCTTGAAGACTGCTTGTGGCCACGATGCTTTAACACAGCAGGTAGAAAACCTTAAAACAAAATGCTACTTTAAACTGTTGCTCTAAACTTGAAGGTTTTCTACTTCTTAAACTAAAATGTGGGGAAATCAGCCATGACTGGTGCCACCCCCTATTTGCAGGTCTGGCCAGTCTGGGTTGAGGTAAACATTGTTAGAATTCCTGCTCCGTGATTGCAGTCATGGGATTGTTGTCTTTCACATGATGGTGTATGTTTTGACTCCACAGAGTGGGAAGTGACGGAGGCATGATGTTTCTGTTACTGTGTTCTGTGAAGTGGGACTATTGTCCTTTGTTCTTTTTCTCTTTGCTGTCTGATGCTAAAGAAAAAGGGAGCCATGTTGCAGTGCTCCATGTGTGTTAATATGTAAATAAAGTAGATTAGCCAAAATGCTGAGTTGCTGAGGACTGTTACGCAAGCTGCGAAGACTCTGCGGATCCCTAAGTGTGCTGACGTCTGTTGGCATCAGTCGCTGTGATGTTCGGGCAGAAGAAAGCTTTTGAAGCTCCAGAACGATCGACCAGGAGGGAAAGAACATGCCAGTCGGGCATGTGTCTCTGCCTGGGTCCTACTCGAGAGGAGGACGAGCTCCTGACAAGCTGCCTGGAAGTGATATTGTGCTGTGGTAGCTGGCTGCACAAGGGGGAAGGTGTGAGGGCAGCCACAGCAGCACATCCACGAATCATCTCCATGTTTGCCATTGCACAGGAGAAGATCAAGGAGCCTTAGGAGATAAGGGTAGGAAAACATTTATGGAGCAAATAACCCAGAAAATCATACCTGCAACTACAGGTAGCAGGGAGAACGGAAGGGGGGCATTAGGAGATGAAGGGTTTATGCAGAACAACAAGATGGAGAATCCAAAGATGAGAAAATCCTGGTCCCTCACACAGGAAAAATGTGTCCTTTTGAAATGCAGAGGTTGGGGAGCAGTTGTGAAGCCGAGAAGCATCTTGGAGAACCAGCTGAAGGTAGGCTGGGAGAGAGGGAGTCCAAGGCTGGCCTGCTGTGAAGAACGGGCTTCTCCTGAGATGTGGATGCTGTGAAATCCCTCTCCATTGAAAGCTTCTGGTGTAAAGTGTTGTTGGCATCTGTCTGTCTCAAGAGACAGTGGAGTGCATCTCCAGAGGTGAAGTCAAGCCATTGGAGAATCACAGCAGCTGCTGTGGCTGCAGAGACCGGTAACTTGTAACTGCTGCCTCCTACGTTGCTTTTGCTGCAGTTCCGAAGTGATCTTAGTGGGGCTTAAACCTGGGTTGGCCAGACGACAAAACTGGCTGATGTGGACCAAAGGGAAACAGATAAATACATTTGGCAACAGCTTGGCTGCAGGAATTGCAGGAAGGAGGTGTTCAAGACACTACCCAACCATCTTAGGGATTCCACTCTGGATTTGTGTAGGGTTTACGCCTTAGCCTTTTCTATCCCGCAAGGCAGCAGAGGTTTAGGATCAGAGGTTTTCCTTCTCTGATGCAAATATGTGCAAATAAATCATATTTCAGCTGCAAACTCCGCCAATGCATCATTTCCCCCAAAGGAACACAGACCCTGGTTCAGTTCCTGCAAAATGCATTCCCAATCAAAACATTTTGTGCTTTGTATCTCAGGGCATGGGTCCTTGGTCACATAATGCAGGTCACTTTGCTGAACCTAAGCAGCTCCAACTATGGTCAGCATCTGTACAGAGACCTTGTGGGAATCTCATGTGCTGTGCCTTAAATTCCATGATGGAAGAAAAGCAGAATATAAGTGTGCTATTGATTTCATATATTTGTATTTTACTAGGTGTATCTGGAGAATAGATTGTGCAACTAATGCAAAACGATTATGCACCAACAGCTATCAACAGAATGAGAAAACAGAGCTGTGACTGATCAGTAGTGGAGTGGGGTTTGCCTACGATTACTCAAATACCTAGCTGAAGCCAGGCCACATTATTGCTAGTCGTTTGCGCTTGCAGTTATTCCAGTCCTGCGGTTTTCAATTATCCTCCAAGCTTAGAGCATGATAGGGCAGGGAAAAAAGTGTCGGGCACAGGAAGCTGGGTACGAAACTTGCATCTCCTTGAGGTACTGCTTGGCACACAGCAAACTATCTCAAGAAGCCAGGAAAGGTGGAGAAGGAAACAGATTTGGTCCAGCTGGATGATGCAAAAGAAAGGGCAGTAGTTTCTGAAGAGGTTTCTAGCATTTCTAAGAGGCCTGTGCTCTTCTTACACTGTAATCTTATGTGCACTTAGGAACAAGTCCTATTGACTAGTGGGACTTAAAGGTAAAGGAACCTCTGACCGTTAGGTCCAGTTGCGGACGACTCTGGGGTTGCGGCGCTCATCTCGCTTTAGTGGCTAAGGGAGCCGGCGTACAGCTTCCAGGTCATGTGGCCAGCATGACTAAGCCACTTGTGGCGAACCAGAGCAGCACACGGAAATGCCGTTTACCTTCCCGTCGGAGCGGTACATATTTATCTAACGGGAGCTCACCCCATTGCGGGGATTCGAACTGCCGACCTTCCGATTGGCAAGCCCAAGAGGTTCTGTGGTTTAACCCACAGCGCCACCCGCCTCCCAGTGGTACTTACTTCTGTGTAAACATGGACAGAATCAGGCTGAAACTGTATATAGTACAGTAAATGTATCTTCCAAAATACGCAGTCATCCCACTTAGAATTTGGCCTGCTGCAACTGTACAAGTGTAAATGGCTCGGACATGCTGTTTAGGCATCCTACAAATGATTCTGGATAACATTTGGTTGGCCTCATATGCACCATGTGGGAGGAGGGAGCTTTTGCAATTTATCATCTAGGCTAGAAGCTGCTCCTTTGCATTTCTGTGCACCTGGACTGAGGAATGGTCCTTCTCTGCTGTTGGTGCCATCTCAGAAGGTGTTATTAAATACTTATGGGTTTTTGATTTTCCTGTTGTTGTTTTTAAAAACCAACCTATTATGAAATTATTTTGAACACTATTTTATATAGAAGTACTGTGGGTCGAGTTTTATGCATTTACACTTTTGCGAACCACTTTTGAGTAGAGGGTATACAAATAAAAGTGATTGGTGTTTCAAGCCACACTTATCTGGGAGCAAGCCCCAATGAAAACAATATGAATTGCTTATCTGTAGGGTTGTACTGAAATCCAACTGCCCTTTTCCCTAGAAGCCCTGAATATATATGTGTGCCTGTATATAAGCTTGAAAACAGCAGGTATACATGAAAATAAAATAAATGCCTACTATTAAGTGTCGTTAAAGGACAGAGGAATGGGTAACTTCTCACATAGTAATGGGCAATGGCACTCAGTTATATTTTTCATGTTAGAGATTTTATTGGAGGCTTACAGAAACTAACAGCTTAAAGCAAACACCTTGCAAATGGGTTCAATTAAAGCCATTTAAAGTCATTACTCATCCCATTTGACGTCAAGTTAGTCGATATGAACTTCCCTAACCACCTCTAATTTAATTTACTTACACCACCACCACCACTCCCAACCCCACCACGGCTACGTTTTATTAAAATTCACATGCCGCGCAGATATCACCATATGAAGCCACCTTAAGTTATCATTATTATCCGCTTAAAATTAAGAATGAACAGCGCCCGATTCTGCAGGCAACACTCAGATTCCTGCATTCCAACGGGGTTGGACTAGATGACCCTTGGGGGGTCCCTTCCCATTCTACAATCCTGTGATTCTACGGCAAGATATGCCTCCTGCTGCTGGCGGGGGCTGCAGGAATACCCCGCATATTACGCTGATCCCACCGCAGCGGCCTCGGCAGCATCACATCCATCAGCCGTTTTAGGCCAGCCTTTTTTCCCGACCCCTCGCCCGACACATTCCTCCAGACTACAACTCCCATCAGCCCGGGCGCTTGGGGCTGATGGGAGTTGTAGTCCGAGCCGCCCGATTGGCGAAGACTCTTCCCCCCCCTCATCCCGCACAGCCCTGTTCCGCTGCCGCAGGCCTCCCGCCCGCCCGGTGGCGCTCGCGTCCCAGAGGCGCTGTCCTTTCCCTCTCCGCAACCTTCCACCGCTCTTTCCCTGCGTCCTTTTCTCTCCTCTCTCCCCCCGCGCTGCTTCTGCCGATGGGGTTGCCGAAGTGGGAGGGGGTCGTGGAGGGCGTTTCCCCGGTCGCCGCGCGGCGTCACTCCCAGCATGCAGCGCGGCCCGCTCCTGCCGCCGCCGCCGCTGCCTCCGCCGCCGCCGCTCCTGTCACCGCCGCCTCTCCCGCCGCCGTCACTTTCGCAGCTGCTGCCGGCGCCGCGGGGCTGGGAGACATGGCGGAGGGAGGCGCGGCGGACCTGGAGACCCAGCGCTCGGACATCGCGGCGCTGCTCAAGACGGCGCTCCGCAAGGGCGACACCTGGTGAGGGGCAGGGAAGGGATGGGGGAGGGGAGGCCGGGGAGGGGGAGAGGCTGGTGAGGGGCCCTTCTGAGTGACAGGTGCGGGCGGGTCCTGCCTGCCTCGCCCCACCTCTTTTCCTCCGCCGCTTGGGGGGGGGGAGGCGGCAGCAGCCCGCCGCCCTTCCTCTCCGCGCCCCCCACCATCACCACCCCCAAAATGCGCTGGGAGCGGCATCCCCATCGAGGAAGGGGCTCACCTTGCCTCGCAGGTGGCGCCAAGGCGGGGCCAGGCGCTCACAGCCGTCCACCCGCCCCCCGCCCCTCCGCGCATCTTTCCCATGACAGGTTCTGGAGAGGCAAGGTTTGTGCCAAGGTGCTGCTTCCCTCTCTCACCTGCGAGAGGAAGAGGCGAGCCGGTCCAGCCGGCTTTCAATTGCAGGCACTTCTTCTCCCAGGTGTTTTCTCCTATTGTTTCAATCGGCCGGAAAACTACCACACACAAAAAACCACACACACACACCCTATTTTTTCTGTGTATTGAAGGCAGCCAGTGATGGAGTGTGAATGTTTCCTGGGTTAAGGTTTCTCATCCACAGCATAGGCTTTCCCCCAGAAAGCTTACATATTGCAAGGCCTTGTCTTTTCTGGCTGACTGTTGCTTGTCACTTCTGGATTTCCTTTAGGGTTTCACCTCGCCTGGTTTCTCCCACAACACTCCTTTCTTTTCCTCTCCACCCTCCCTGTAGATTGTATTTATCTGCAAACCGTGTCATTGTTTTATGTTTTTTCCTCTGGTGCAGTACTAGCTGAAATACCTGGGAAATGGATCTTGCCACCTCCTGGCTTAATTGTGCTGAATCTTGAAGAACATTTGGTATTTGTGGAGTAAGATGTGACTAAACAGATCAATTATGCACACATGTTCCCCCCGCCCCTCTATTAAAAGAGAAGTTAATCCTGGGCCATGGGGAAATTCTTGGATTTTAGAGATTGAGGATAACTTTGTGCATCCAGCAGCCACTATGTTATCTTGGAGCATGCAGAACTGCCAGTGGGATTGTGGCCTGGATATGTGAAGATTTCATAAATGGGCTGTTGTGACTACATGTGTCATGGCAGTAACATGTATCATGCAGTGACAGTTCATACAAACAGCTGCACCTTGTGAATCCTATTTAGGCAACAAGCACAAGGGTGACTGCATGGAGGCCGCCAGGTGTGTCAGCCAGCCCGATTTTTCATAAGTTATACAACTTATGAAAGTGCAGTCTTAGTGTTAAAGTGCAGTCCGATACATGTTTACTCAGAAATAAGTACCACGGTCTTAAATGGGGCTTAGAGAGCAATCCTAACTGCTAGTCAGAAATGCCAGGGCTGAATGGTGCAGTGGAGCTTCTCTTGCTTGCCAAAGCGCAAGGGGGGGTGTATGTATGTAAGCGAAAATGTTGATTTTACTGTGCCAGCTCCTTGCTATTACAGCAAACAGGCGTATGATCAGTAACTGGAATCCAGTGGGCCTTTGTCCAGCCCAACTCTGCCACTACTCCCTTGCTCCTGTTATTTCAGAGAGTACAGCAGCAACTTCCATGGTTATGGAACCGCGTGGAGTGACACCACTATCACATCATAACCCCTTCCAGTGATTGGGGTTAGGGTTGCTTTATTACTCCCTACCGATAGGTTTTAGGATTGCAGGGTTAATTATACCAATTCATTGGGTTTGTTCAACTATAATTTATGTTACCATAGAAGAAGCAAGTGGGCTTGAGTCTTGTCAAATGCAGGTGTGTAGCAGTTACAACACTTAACCTGTTTCTCATTTGTTTTCTATGTCTGTCATTGCACCCTGAAGTCTGAAGTTTCCTGCATGTTAAGGCCCAGTTCAAATGTACTGTTGCTGCTGGGAACTGGCAACAAGCTTGAGCATTCCCCCTGTTCCCTCTTCCTCTTTATTCACTCTGCTTTAGAGGAGACTTCCTGGCTTGCCAAATCAGTTTCCCATTATGTCTGAGCTGGAAATTGTTCTTTAAGTCGTGCCTACACACAGCACAGGTTTATTTGTGATTTGCAAGCCAGGGTTATAGGCAGCGTTAAACTATGGTTTCCAAATCACAGTAATCTGATTTAATAAACCAGAAAGTATCTTCCCAAGCTGGGGAAGCATAGTTAGTTGGAGTGGAAGCATGATATCTGAACTTGACTTGAATTACATTATCTCGTCTCAGCCACAAGCTGCTACTCTCTCAGTAATCATCCTGCAAAATCACAACTGTGCTGGCTGACCTTAAAGAGCTGATGTGGGAATTGCTGACAGAGTATATGTAAAGCATTTTCAGGTCGCTTAATAAATTTTACAGTACAATTCTAAACATGTTTACTCAGAAGTAAGACTTATTAAATTCTGTGAGACCTTAGTTACACATTTCTGTCCCAACCATACTATATCATTTTGAAGAGTTCTTTGAAGTTGAGACTAGAGATGAAGATGCAGCATATTCTTTACAAATTATGAACTACCCTATAACTAGGTGAATAAGTGTGTCCATTGTCACATCTGCCTCCCCTTTTTTCCCTCAAGAGCTCAGTGCACCATACGCAGACACCCCATTTTATCCTCTCAGCAACCCTGAAAGATAGTGTAGAATGTAGACTGAGTGATAACAAGAGGTTCCAAGGCCACCAGAGAATTTTATGGCTGAGAGAAGGGATTAAACTTGCTGCACTACACTAGTTCTCGTCTGCCTTTCATTGTTTTAACACAAATTTGTGCATGCTTACTCAGAAATATGTTCCACTCTTTTCATTTGGGCTTTTTTTCTAGGTGTGTATATAGTGTATATAAGTATGACGGCATGAAATTAAGACAGGTAGTAACTAGGCATAGGTAGACGATCATGCTATAGGAAGTGAGACTCACCTTTCTTCTATCCTGCTGCACAGGCAATCCTTTGATACCCACTCCCTGAAGAAGAATGGTGGGTGATATGAGTATTTGTACCAACTTCTTTTTGCCACTCCATACAACTGAACCTGATGGCCTGGCACCATTTTGAAAGACTCACTCTCTGCTTCATTGTATTGCTGATGGCTTACTAAAAGCTTCTATGGTGGGGTACACTAGTTGTCTTCTTCATAATGAATTGATGGCTGCCACAAGCAACCTAACAACTGGTTAGAATTCTGGTCCCATTGAACTCAGTGGGATTTACTTCAGAATAAACATGCTTAAAGTTGTACTACTAGATAAAATCTCACACTAAATTATTGTGATATATACTGGAGTATTATGAGAAGGTATAGTCTTAAACTCAGAGAGTTGATGATGAAAGTTGTAAGCAAGTGTAGTAATGAGTAATGTTTGTGTTGTTTTAAGATGAATTGAACTTCAGAGGTTTGCTGTAATTTGAGAAGCTATACACATGGTTTCCCCTATTCTAAGCATGAATATTTCAACATCTGATTCTGTTTTTCAAACATTTGTATGACAACATACTTAGTCACAGAGAAGAACTATAGTTCAGAGATAGTGCACATGCTTTGCATGCAGCAGTTCCCAGGTCTAGTCCCAAGCATCTCCAGGGGAAAGTCACCTGTCCGAAACTATGGACAGCTCCTGCATAGGCAAGGAGATTGCCAACCTTTTTGGTCCCATGAACATATTTGGAATTTTGAGAGTGCTCAGTGAGCAACAGTGCTCACCACTATCTCCCTCCCATTCTCTCAGATTGCCCCTTTTTTGTCCAGCTGCTCAGGTGTTGATCTGTATGTGCTTTTTAAGGCTAGGATGAGCAGCTCAGGTGCTGAGCTGAGACTTGAAAAGTACATAGAGCTGAAAGCAGTTTTAGAAACAGAGATATGAAAGCTAGGAGCTAAATGGCACCTTAAACCCAGGTTATGGGCGCAACAATGGAATGTCTAGGCGTCCTTTTTTTTATAACGAATGCGAATGAACTGCAGCTAAAATATTATGTTCATTTTTCACATGGTCTAGTCCTTCCCCTGCCCACCCCCTAATATTCTTGAGAGGGTCTCTTCTCCAGTCTTCAGAGAGTAGCTGGAAGTGGGGAGGCAGGAAAAGGTCCTCCTTTCCTTCTACTCTGCAGTTTTAATCTGAAATCATAGGCGCAGTACTGCACCCAGAGCTCAGAAGCTGTTCGCGCTAGTGAAAAGTGCACCTATAACAATGGTAGTTTTGAACACTGGCTAAAAGAAGTGGTAAAGTGTGTTGATTTCTGACTTTCTCCTTTGGTACTATGCACTTTTCAAGTGGGAGGGGAGATAATCACCATTTCTACCTCATAACCAAAGCAGCTGTGAGAAATGCAGGGGGGGAGGGAGTTCAGAGGCTTTGTGGGCAGCAGGGTAGCACTCTACACCTTCAAGGTTACCCCATTGATGGCCCCAGGTATAGACATTTATGAGCTCCATGGACCACTGGTCTTATTCAGTATAAGGCACCTTCCTATGTACTAAAGATATTTTCTCAAGTATTTTTGAAAACTCTAAACTTGCCACATTACATCTGATAGATGATAGATAGATAGGAGACTGCAACGAGCTTCATAACAATGGACCTAGTTAACAGTAACATGCTTCGGTTAATTTAAGAATCCTGCAAGTACCTTTATGTTGTTTCATCATCGTGGCAGGGTTATATTTACAAAGAGCTTAATTGTAGTGATGGGGCTTGTTCACCCAATATGCCATAACTGTAATGTTTGGGAAATGCCCATTGACAGGAGCATGAGCTCTATTCATGTATTGGCTTGCTGCGATTAATTATATATGCATGCATGTTTGTGCATATGGAGGGTTTGAGAGTGAGTGTGCCATGCTTAGTATGGTTAAGGAAGAGTAAAGGAGAAAGACAAAGTGGATCTGATTCTACTGGCTGTTCCTGCTCCTTGTTTGCGTTGTGGTGTCTTGGATTACAAACCTAGTTAGAATGTGGAGAGTGTCCTGCTTCCCCCCCCCCCACTCCTGCCCTGGCTGCTACGGAGCCAAGGTGCAGTAGGCCCAGTTATCTAGACTGAGCTCCCGCCTTCCAGTTATGAACTGTGGCAGTGAACATGTAATGAAAGTCCTGCCTGCCTTTTGAAACATTAGCATTCAAGTTCAGGAATGTGGAGGGAGAGAGATAGTTTTTTGAACTTGTAAGTAGCCTCCCACTAGTTGGACACTAGTTTAAAAAAGGTAAAGGACCCCTGACAGTTAAGTCCAGTCGCGAAACGACTCTGGGGTTGCGGTGCTCATCTCGCTTTACTGGCCAAGGGAGCAGACACACAGCATGACTAAGTCGCTTCTGGCGAAACCAGAGCAGCGCACGGAAACACCGTTTACCTTCCCGCCGGAGCGGTACCTATTTATCTACTTGCACTTTGACATGCTTTCAAACTGTTGCAAGGTTGGCAGGAGCTGGGACCAAGCAACAGGAGTTCACCCCATCATGGGGATTGGAAATGCCAACCTTCCGATCAGCAAGCCCTAGACTCTGTGGTTTAAACCACAGCGCCACCTGCGTCCCTGAACACTAGTTTAGTGTGTAATAATTATGTTTGCTTCTGATCCAGATGTGTTTACTACTAGCCAATCACACCTCTAGGCACAATCTTCAAGGCTGTGCATAAGTAGACTCCTACATCATGTTTGATGTTCACACAGTGTTTCCTAGAATAGCAGAAGATTGTGGCAGTCGCTTTTCTCTGTCTAGAAACATTTTTTTATGTGGATGGGACTATGCACCAAACATCAAGGGCAGAAGACAAGAAAACCAGAAGAATTTTTGCAAAAATTACTTAGATATGATTTATAATGGGAAGAAGATAAAAATCCATTCATTTCGTATTTTTAGTTCAAACTGCATGCTACAGATATTAACACATAGAGTATTTATGCAGGATACAATCTTCATATCTATTGCTGTGTGTCATAGCAGCTGGGCTATAGCTCTGTGGCATTCATGGTCCATAGCTCAGTCCCTGGCAACTTCAGCCGAAGAATCCTAATAGGGCTGGACAACAGCTGCCAGTCATTGTACAGAATACTGAGCCAGGGTGGACCATTGATTTCTTATGTTATAGTCCTTAAGTGGTTCGTTCTTGGAGCCCATTTCACAAAGCACAAAATTAATCCCTAATTTTTAAAACAAAGGACAAAAGGTAGATTCACTTCAGGGGTGTTTTTTTGTGTGTGTGCTTAGAGTGATAACACTGGTCAACGTGTAAAGAATCCTCAGCCAAATATGTACTCAGAAATTAATTCCAGTAGTTCAGGGATGTAGTTAGCTGTTACCAAGATTTTTACCCTGCCATTTCACATGATAAAGAACCCAGGTGATTGAGTGTGACTTTCATGTGTTTGGTTTTATTTTTCCTGTTAGCTAGTTGAAAGGCATTTAATAGCTTCTTAAAACTTACTTAGCTCTTACTGGATTTTCTTTTATTTAATTTACCCAAGATGCTCGCTGTAATTGCATTTTCAGTGTCATAAGTAGGTCTTGTCCTCTGCATGTTTTTTTAAGGTTCTCCCGAAATTTGAAGAGTGTATAAAAACAAGGGGATCTATACTTAATAGAACACCATTAGAACGTATTGTTGCTTGATTAGAAAGATGCATGCAGAAGTTTAATCCTGGACATTTGCATTTAAATAGTCAGGCCACAGGAAACCCATGCCAGTGACCTTGCAAAGCCATTGCCAGTCAGAATTGATGGTATTGGGCGTTAGATGGACTACTGGTCTGACTCCACCTAAGGCAGCTTAATGGTTATTATCTACCCCATGACCATGAGATGGGGTATGCTGTAAATGTAAACATATTGACAGAGAGAATATGCTGGTCAGTTTCTCTGCTTTTTTGTCTACGAACCCAGCTGTAATAGTTAAAAATTTCAAACAGTTGCCGCTTCTGTCTTCACTGAAAGGCTTATGAAAGCCATAGAGAATGCACATTCACAACGGCAAAAAGTACAGAAGTGATTTCAGTATCCTTACAATGAATTTGGGGTATAGTCAGCTGATATTAAAGTAATGTGTACTTTCTGAATCATGTTCAAGCACAGATGTGAAGTTGAGGAATAAATGGTCTATGCTTTCTTTTTCCTTATCACACAAATTTGGTTGTTGATTGTTGCTATCAATATGTACTGGAACACACAGCAGTTAGAATCCACTCCTGTGCTAGAATAATATCCCAGCAATTACAAGTTTGATTAACAGCTCCCCCCCCCTTCATAAAGCAGTTTTTCCCAAGGACATTAATATACATTTGAGAAGAATGCTTCAACAAAGGAATAAGCACTACTTAATGCCACTTTTTGATCAGGCTGGTTTAATTATTTTTAAAAATAAGCATCTAAAATGTAAACAGAGTTTCACAGAGCAAAATGAACTGAACCATGTTGTGTTTCAAAACAGTCTGAAGTGAAGGAGTGTAGTCAATAGGTTTTTATAACGGGTTAAATTGTTTACTTAGCATCTTGAAGTCTAGGATGAAAATGTTTCTTTGACTATTTCAAGCAAAGCTTTGGCTGTATCTGAATCATTTATGCTCACATGTTTGTGATCTGATGAGATTAAGTATTTGTTACACTTCATGAAAATGGGTAGAGTCTCTCTTCCATCCGTAGGAATGTTGAGTATACAATGTATTCTATAAAAGCTGGCACTCTTTATAAAATACAATTTACAGTGCAATCCTATGCATATTTGCATGCAGTCTACAGTCCTTTTCTTACTACAATTTTCTGGTCTTCACTTTGATTGCATAGTTCTGTTCTCTTGGGAATTATTGGTCTGATGGTTGTCCACAGTGGGTGCTCATAAACTACAATTAAAAATATGATGTTGATTACTTAGAGGAGGTATTATGCCAGGCTTCCTCAACCTCGGCCCTCCAGATGTTTTTTGGCCTACAATTCCCATGATCCCTAGCTAGCAGGACCAGTGGTCAGGGATGATGGGAATTGTAGTCTCAAAACATCTGAAGGGCCAAGGTTAAGGAAGCCTGTATTATGCAATATTGTTCATCTGTGCTTTCTGATATGGTGTAGAGGGTGTTTAAAACAAGATTGCTAAGCATGCATCTGTTATTAACACTGTTAAGAACAAGCCCCAGTTATCTGCTATAGACAGGCATATTTTAAAAGTTAGGGATGAAAGTGGAAAATCATTTCTTCTGATTTGATTTCATGTTTATTTTAATATTCTGGCATTTACTGATAATAAATTTAATTATGGTAAGGAACATGAATGTGAATATCTCTTTCTGAAGTTTTTTTAAAAAATAAGACTCATCAGATTACTTGTTGGAAAGAAACTCAATTAATAGTCTCTTAAGATGTATGTCTCAGTAAATTTGTGTAAATGCAGTTTCTGAATGGTTGGTTGCATTCTTTCTTGTAATAATACATATTTAGTCAAAGCAGTCTTAATCTTCATGCTGGAAGCAGCTCTGCAGGTGTGTTGTGTCTGTATTTTGGACAATTCTCCAAAGTACAACTCAAAATATAAATACAATAAAAAGCCAGTCAATTGCGTCATTGGTTAAGACTTTGATCTTTCATATGTATATTTTCCTCCTTTTTAAGGTATTTAGTGGATAGCCGCTGGTTCAAACAGTGGAAAAAGTATGTTGGATTTGACAGCTGGGACAAATATCAGATGGGAGATCAGAATGTTTATCCTGGTCCTATTGACAATTCTGGACTTCTCAAAGGTAATTACTGTTGAGTATTAAAAAAGAAAGCAGGAACCTGATGTGTCTATGAATTATAAATATTGCATATTATTGCAGTTATCTCACCCTGTCATTCTTAGGTTCCAGAATATCTGGGAATTTCTTCTTACAAATTAACATTTTCAAATACAGTAGTTCAGATTGGATGATATCCAACAATATTTGTCCACTAGTGGAATCAATATTGTTTGTGACACAGATTTTCCCTTCTCCCCACAACCCCTCATGTGCTCCCCAAATCTGCTAGGGAAGAGCATGGAAGAGTAGAAGAGGGAAAACTATATTGCCTGAGGGGATTTCTCTTGTTTGATATTGGCAATCACCCTTTATTCCATCAGGGAATATGTTGTTAGTTAATTCAGTGTCTCAAACTTGATCACTTGTGATCTTCAATTCCTTTGTATTAGTGTGTTAAATACTTTCGTTACCCAAGAAAATCTTTTAATAAGAACAATTTAGAAACAGCAACTGTGACATCTAAATATTGTCATCCCTAAATATGTAAACATTTCCTCATAGATGGGGACTGTCAGTCTCTCAAGGAACATCTCATTGATGAGCTGGACTACATTCTTTTACCAACTGAAGGCTGGAACAAGCTGGTTAGCTGGTATACTCTTATGGATGGCCAGGAACCAATTGCACGCAAGGTACTTCTTACATTGACTACTGAAATATCTATACTTGCGCTTGAAATGCTCTGTTTACAGTGCTACCAGTTAGATGTGTAGGAGTAATTTGAATATGTCCATATCACGTCATGGTTTTTGCAAGTTAACTAGTATTAAGTCCTGGCGTTAATCAGTATTAATGGCTTCATTTTTTACTCAGTGTTAATGATACATTCATTTTTTTTAAGCATGAGAACAAAACATTGATGAGACAACTCTATCATCTTATTTATTATTTCACCATCCTAGTACAGCCCTAGTTACAGTGGTGCCTCGCAAGACGAAAAGAATCCGTTCCGCGATTCTCTTCGTCTAGCAGTTTTTTCCGTCTTGTGAAGCAACCCTATTAGCGGCTAAGCGGATTAGCGCTATTAGCGGCTAGGCTATTAAAGGATTAGCGGCTAAGCTGCTAAAAGGCTATTAGTGGCTTAGCGGCTTAGAAAAGGGGGGGAGCGGGGGGGGACGCAAGACTAGCAAGACGTTTCGTCTTGCGAAGCAAGCCCATAGGGAAAATCGTCTTGTGAAGCAACTCAGAAACGGAAAACCCTTTCGTCTAGCGGGTTTTCCGTCTTGCGAGGCATTCGTCTTGCGGGGCACCACTGTACTTCTGGCCTGGTTAATGATAAAAAAATTCTGTTAACTTCTCCTGACAGTTCTGTGAGTAGGGCAGAAATTTGTCCTTGCTTTGGCATAGCAAGGCAAGTTCTAACCCAAACCATGTAGATAAGCATTAAATTAGGTAAATATTGTTTCAGTTTTATAGTGATAACTGTTTCAACTGCAGCACTGTTAACTGCATGAATTGCTTAATTTTGCGTTCTGCTTAAGTCTGTTCTAATCATATACCTTGACTTTGTACTTAGATTTTGGACACACAACTGTATGAAGCATTTTGTGCTAATAGCAAAAATACATTGTGTACTGAAATATTTACAGGTGATGCATTTTTAAAAATGAGAATTATTAGACTCTGCTGGAACTTGGACATACCATTCACTTTCCTGTATCGTTCCACTTTCTTCCTTGTCATGTGCACTCTCTTATGATACATTCAGTAGAAGACTCCCTTTCTAGGCACTGTTCCTTGCAACAGCTCTCCTATGTCTGTTTGTGTCTGTATCAGTTTACAGAATAATACTCACTTTTTCTACACAGAATGCCCATTGCCCATTGCTTATGTAATATGTACTTTGGAAAAAAGGAGAGTAGGTAATATGTTATTATTAGTTATTCATCGGTTTCATGTATGAATCACTTCCTATGAGGTTATCAAAGCAATTTGCAGTACAATTAAAAGCAGTGGAAACAATTGCTGATATAAGAAAATATAAAAAGCATCAAAAGTGCATGTAAAACAACAGTTGCATAAATGAAATCAATTTCACATCCAGTACAATTACAAGATAGGATAATGCTCTCTATTTGGAAGAGTACTGAAAGAGGAAAGTCTTAAAAAAACCAAAAAAACTAAAAGAATAGAGATGGCACTTGTCATCTATATACAGTCAAACATCAGTTGTCGAACGTAATCCGTTCTGAAAGACCGATTAACTTCTGAAACGTTTGACAACCAAGGCATGGCTTCCAGTTGACTGACAGCTAGGTTTTTGCACAGTGGAAGCCATGTTGGACATTCGGGTTCCGAAAAATGTTTAAAAACCGGAGCACTTACTTCCAGGTTTTCAGCATTTGAGAGCTGAAACATTCGAAAATGGAGCCATTCGAGAACCGAGGTTTGACACAGGGGTCAGCAAACTTTTTCAGCGGAGTGCCGGTCTACTGTCCCTCAGACCTTGTGGGGGGCCAGACTATATTTTGGGAGGGGAGAAATGAATTCCTATGCCCCACAAATAACCCAGAGATGCATTTTAAATAAAAGCACACATTCTACTTATGTAAAAACACGCTGATTCCCGGACCGTCCGCAGGCCGGATTGAGAAGGTGATTGGGCCGCACCCGGACTTTAGTTTGCCTACCTATTGAAGTGTGAGGCATGGGGAACTTGGCATTGACATCTTGGCAGGACCATCCAATATATTCCGTCACACAGTTCTGAGCTCCTCTTTCCTTCTCAATAAGTGTCAAGTGACCTGCTGCTTTGAGATGCTGCAAGAGCAACACTCATGCCCCACCCGTGCCGCCTCACCAACCACTACTGTACTTAAAGCCAGTGTTTTATTTTTGTAGTCAACTATTGAGGCTCAGTATTAATCCTATGAAATAGTCTGGTTAATCCAGGTATCACATTCCTAGACCTCTTCAGTTTTCTATGGAGGATATAGGCAGTGCTTCCGCCCCTCGCCCCCGAAAAATAGGTGCCGGTACTCACCATGAAGTTGTTACAGTAAGTGCCACACTTTTTAACAACAACAGAAAGAGGTGCTGGTATTGCAAACCCTTGAGTATCCCCTGAAAAAAAGCACTGGGTATAGGTACCGTTCAGGTATCATGTTAAATCATAGTTTGAGTTTCCAGACAGCAGTTCAGGGTGGCTTGTCTGTTTGTTTCCTGTCCTCTTAGCAATCAGCTTCACACATTTCTCCGTAGTTCAGTAGCACTGCAAGGAGGGTAATGGCTGTAACTATGGCTTGTCCATTTTGATACCATGTCCAATTATAGCACAAACCACAGTGTGCAAAACCACTTTAACCATTTTCTGATTTGCTGGCTAACAACTGAAACTGGTATTTATCATAGGTAACACATGTACTCCAGTTTCAGTAGTGGATAAAGATACAATAGCTTCATTGATTTATATTTTGGGAGGAGTTGAAGAAATGAAAATTGTTGCCATTTGCCTTTGTCTGCAGATCTTCTTAGCTTACAAAGCTGATAGGCAGGACATGTTATTATTATTAATTGTATTTTACAGAAAGACTTACTTGCATGTTGCTGTCTGAGAAAATTAACTTTCTTTGTCCAGTTAAGATCTTTTGTAGTGTTCGCTCCTCCTGTGAAGAAACCATATATTGTATCCATTTATTGGATATTTGGGATTTATTGTGGGTAAAATTTGAGAATGTGTGGCTTCACTGTGGCTGAAATAATAACCTAAAATATTATATCTACATTTTTGTTTTCAAGAAAGATTATCTGTGTTGATGTCTAAGCCTTCTGTTTTAACATCCCGTTTTAAGGTTACTGGAAAACCTGTGTATTGCAGTTTTCATTACTCCAGTATCTTAATAAGTAGTGAAAGGAAGAGGACCCCAATTTCATATTCATATTTCTAAGCCCCATAGATATCAGGTTGTTCTGGCAGAGTATAGATGGATAGTTTTGTTGAGATAAAACATTGTTCCAAAGGAACCTTGGTGGCTGTGTAGTTGAGCCAAAAATCTGCTTACTTTTCATTGCTAAACTGCTTGCTTACAAAGGTGTTGAACCATTCTACCATAAGGTTCCATAAGGTACCATTCTACCATAAGGGACCAAATCAGAAAAATGCCAAGTGATATAAATTGGCTTATCCATAAGCAAAACCTCAGCTGATCTGGGGTTTTTTTTGTAAGTTGCTTGGCTGCATAGAGAGGTTTTGGTTGCAATGAAAACTAGAAATTAAGAGCATATGCTGGCCTGAATTGTTGGTACAATTTACAATATTGCTATTTTAACACACTCCATCATGAATCATCAGTTTAGGAATAGCATAGCAAAGGTAGATCCGGCTTGTATATAAAATGCCACCGACATCTGTTTACCTGATACCCTTCCTGGATGCTCCATCTCATTGCATGCCATCACAACCTCCCTCTCTTTGCTGCTATGCACATCTTTCTTTCCACTTCCAGAAACAGGCAGAGATCTGTGACAACCAGTAGCCATTAGCCTGTGTTTCCACAGTGTTGCATTTGCAGTAGTAGTTCGCTTTTATATGCAGCCCTTCATTATCTAAGCTGCATTCAGTTTAGATACAGACTTGCAGCCCAAACTATGCATGTTAACTCGGAAGTAGGTTCAGTGGGACTTCCCACTGGAATGTTAAGCATACATGGTATTGCAGCCGTAATCTGGAAGGATGGACCTTGTGTATCCTTCTTCATGTGCACAGAGTTGTTTTGATTCAGTTTCAATTTCAGTTTTAAAACAGTAGTGGAAGCAATCCTGTATGCAGCTTCTGAAATGCAACTCTGCGTAACACAGGGCTGCATTCTAGAGGTGTTCTGCTCTTTCTTCCAGACTTAGAACTAATAATTCTGCATTTAGAAGGAAGGACAAAGAGGCCCTGCTACATAACCCTTGGAACTCAACTAAGTTTTGAACTGGGAGCAGAGCATGGGACTTTCTTTGTCTTACATATAATGTGAAACTACAAGTTGAACAGAGGTACCAAACTTGAGCAGAGGTACCTTCCTGCTTCAGGACGTTGCCTCTGCTCAATTTCCTTGGAAGTCCTTAGCCCACCCTGACCACAGCCCACCCCATACAGCAGGGTCTCCTGACCCTAAGTGGAATATTTTTAAGGGGCTAAGGGTACTGCCTTATGGAGGAAATCAGCTTCTACCAGACCCAATAAACATGCTTAACTCTGCATACAACATAAAACAATTTTTGTAAGCTGCTCTGAGAACTTGTTGAATATGTTAAATCTTTAAAATTAAAAAATCAAAAATTTGAAATGTACTTTTAAAAAATGATAGCCCAAATTCTTAGCATGCTGAAATTTGATGCAAACATCGTTTTACAGCCTTCTTTGAAATAGTGGCATTCACATATCCCTGATTGTAACCTTAGCAACAAGAATAGCTGTGTTTTATAGTAACACAAGGTGGTATCACTCTTCTGTTGCACTTAAAGCTCAGCTGCAGCAGTACATACAAATAATTTGGCATAAGCAAGTTCTGTAGATTCAGTTTCCCCTAAATATCCAAATCAAGCTACAAAATACCTGGAAAATGTTTATTAATATACTAATACTTCCCTTTAGTGAGTGTTCATTAACTCTGTTGCTATAGCATATTACAGTACTTCTAGCAGTCATTTGGTACCTCCTTCTTCACCATATTTGTCTGATGTATCACATATCAGGCTGATGGCTATTTTCAGGACAGTCTACATGGCTGACTTATGCAGTTACAGCATAGAAGATCAGATGGAAGTATATACGAGGTGATTGTGAATATTCTGCTTACTTCAATTTGCAAGTTTTGTCATTCGTTAGTAATATATGGCAAGGAACAAATTAGAAAATCATTTTCCTAGATAAAAGTGAAAATTACCATATCACTTACTTAGAAAATCAGTTAACCAATGTCGTAACTCCTGCTGGTATTATATATATTTTATTCATTGTACCGTATTTTTTTTGGGAATATTGGTAATGTTATATAGAATTAGTAGGGGCTATCTTGTTAATTATAAACATGTTTTTAAACGTAAAACAGAAAAGATTATGATGTAGCTTCCATGCTTTTTAAAATCATAAAAATTCTCAAAGTGTTATAAAACATCAAACTCTAAAATAAGAACCGATTATTTGGAAGTGTTCTAAATTTTGTTTTATGCATTTAGGGATTCATATATTCTATTCAAATAACCATTCTTGATCTGTTTGTATTCCAGGTAGTTGAACAGGGTATGTTTGTCAAGCACTGCAAAGTAGAAGTATATTTGACCGAATTAAAATTGTGTGAAAACGGAAATATGAACAATGTAGTAACAAGAAGATTTAGTAAAGCTGACACAATCGGTATGCCCATACCTGTTTATAACATGAATTACTGCTTTTAAAACCTTATTTAAAATGTGTCTTTGGATCTTGTGAGGTTTTGTAGAACATGTTTTATGACACATTCACAGTATTAATAATCGTATTTGTGTGTAAAAAAAAAAAAGCTCCAGTACAAAGTTCTCCCTAATGTTATAATTTGAATAGAATAAGTGTAAATGTATATAATAAAGATTTTTACCTGACCATAGTCTGAGAAAACTGGCAAAGTTCAGATTCCTCAGCGTAAATGAATGTCAGGCCAAAGAAGCTTACTAATCTTTTTAAAATGCATGTGGTCAGTTCTTTTAAGACATTGAGTAGGATGAGTGGCTAAACCCAATTTATATCCTCAATTCATACAGCTGCATGTATCTGTATAATCTTGCCATTTGTTTTTTGTATGTGGTGTGTTGTAACATGGATATTTACAACTTGTGCAACCAAGTAATTATGATACCATGGGTTCTAAAAAAAACTCCCCCCCCCCATTTCTGTCAATATAGACACAATTGAAAAGGAGATAAGGAAAATCTTCAATATTCCAGATGAAAAAGAGACCAGGTTGTGGAACAAATACATGAGTAACACATTTGAACCTTTGAATAAACCAGACAGTACCATACAGGATGCTGGCTTGTACCAGGGGCAGGTAGGCTATATGTAGAAACCTGAAATTCTGGAGATTTTCTACTCTTCTGGCATACATTCGTGGTAAAATTGCTTATTGAGGACATCTTATTCTTAATGTTTGGTTAAAGTTTATTTCAGCTTTACACTTAATTAACCATGTCCGCTGAGGCTGGGAAAATGGTTATCGGCCTATATGAAGATTTGTGACTTGTGATTCTTGAACAGTGTCTTTCCATACTAGAGGGCAAAACCACTCTTAAATGTCATTTCAAAATCAGTTTTTTATATGAACAATAGTAAAAACCCAATTCCACTGCACATAAACTCCACCTTTAAATCCACATTTGCTTGACTGGGCAGTAGGACACCAAGTGTGTTCCATCGTCCAGTCGTTTGAAGGCAGGAAAAAGTAATCACTCCATGAGCATCTTTGAGTTGGCCCGTCCTTGGAGCTAATAGAACCACAGCTAATTGTCCCTTGCTATTGAATTAGTTCTTCCTTTATTCCTCCCCTATTGATCTATAACATACCAATTAATTATAAAATAATTAAATTGTAAATTATAGAATTTTGATCAGGCCATAAACCTTGGCCTGATCAACTTCTAAATTCTTTCCCTTTGAAATCGATTGGTCTGACCCTACACACTTTTTCCTGAGCCTACGCTTGCTGCCTGTTTAAAAACCTCCAGAGTTGCTGCTTGTTGCCTGTTTTAAGATCAGGTCTCAGTTTACTGGACTAATTAAGCAGCAGTGTGTCAGAAGGATAAGAGAAAAGAGCAGCTGAGGCCAGGAGGGTGGGCAGAGTATCTAAAGTGTGGGGCATGGCAAGCATGAAGGAGGACAGATATGGTGTGAAAACAGGCACCCACAATTTTTTTGGATTCTGGAGAAACTGCAGCAGCACAGCACAACCTGATTGGCCCTGCTGCACTGGATATGAGATAATAATAAATAATAATAATAATAATAATAATAATAATAATACCCTGCCCATCTGGCTGGCTTTCCCCAGTCACTCTGAGCAGCTTACAGCACATAAAAAATAATAAAACATAGACATTAAAATTTTCCTATACAGGGTTGCCATCAGATGTATTCTAAAAGTCAGATAGTTGTTTATTTCCTTGACATCTGAAGGGTGGGCTCCACTACCGAGAAGATACACTGTGTATCTGAAGAAGTGTGCATGCACACGAAAGCTCATACCTAGAACTAACTTAGTTGGTCTTTAAGGTGCTACTGGAAGGAATTTTTTTTGTTTCATCTATAGTGATGTTGGAGAAGTGCCATGCTCATTATATAGGATAGCAGCAGCGCTGTTTGGACTCTAGACAAGATGAGCAGCTGTCTGGAATGGATGAAAGGTTTGGGCCAGCCCACCAGTTCCTTCTTTCACTCCATTTTATCTTCGAGGGATTAGTTTTGGGGGGTTTTCAAGGGCACTCCATGGCCTATTCTAATACTATATTGCTTAAGGGTTTGTTGCTCCTCTGGCCTGTTGGTTACACAGCAAGCCACTGCTACCAAGCCACAAGTAAGCTTCCCTCATACTGCCACCTCTGATCAAGCAAGTGTTCTACATCAGTCTCGGCATAGAGATTCAATGATTTCTAGCTTGCACTTCAATACTGCTCATACTGCTGCCACCCTGGCTAAAATGTGGTTGTGCAGCAGGAAGAAAGTGTCACATTTACTCCTCTTGTGATGAGACAGTTGAAAGAGGCTGCCCAAAATACCATTATGCTTGATACCATTCAGTCTGTCAGGGCGAATGTCCAGCCAACCATGGTTTCTCCTAATGTGCCTTCCCCACAGCCTTCTCCAGATTCACATGCTGTGGCAAGAAGGCAAGTGGGACTCCAAAGAGGATGTTGTTAAGGTTAGGTAAAGGTAAAGGTACCCCTGCCCGTACGGGCCAGTCCTGACAGACTCTAGGGTTGTGCGCCCATCTCAAGAGGCCAGGGGCCAGCGCTGTCCAGAGACACTTCCGGGTCACCTGGCCAGCGTGACAAGCTGCATCTGGCGAGCCTGTATAATTTTGGGTTGTAACCAGGCATAGCAAAATAAATATGTTAAAGTTTAAAATTAATAAAGCTTGGCTTCCATCTGCAGTGGCCACCTGCTATGTTTAATTACCAGAAATGCTCTGCCTAGGCCTATAGATATATAAAATATGTAGTCCTGGGCTCACTGGGACTGTAGGGGTTATAGCTATAGTAGATCCACTGAAATTAATGACCCTAAGTTAGTCAAGTCCATTAATTTCATTGGGTCTTCTCTGAGTATGACTAACATTGGATGCAACCCAGGATATATAAAACCTATAGGGTTTTCTCTAGGCTGCGGCATTGTATTTTGGATAACTACGTTTGGTTGGTGGTCCCTTGAACCATGTCATCAGCATACTATAGTAATTAATGGTTTAAAATCTTTATCTTTTCATTCTAAATTGGTCATTATAATCTATCAATAACCCTAAAAAAGACTTTGTGTAATTCTTATTGGAAAGGTTTTTATATGCAGATTAAAAAGCAGATAGAATACAACCTATTCTGGTACCTGTCCAAAGAAAATATTTCAAAACATGTATCAGTATCACTGTTAGGCAGTGGTTTGCTATATATTAATGTAGTCTGAGGGTGGGGGGAATTCACACTATTTCCAAAGTTTCTCAGAAATTCTCACTCAATTCTGTTGAAGCCTGCAGATAGGACACATTTAGAAAGATCAGAGCTTTTTGTTTGATAGTATTGGTGTTTTGCATTTTTGAAACTTCATTATATCTGCTTATAATAAAGGAGTGTTGGGGAAAATGCAGCGGGGGGAGTGAGTAAATATCCACTTTGAAACATAGCACTGTCAGTTTTAAGGCATGAATCCATTTGCTGTTTCTGCAAGAGTAAGGAGTGATAACCAGCTGTGCCCTGTTCCCAGAAGAAGGGACTTCTGCTTTCATAACTGGGCTTCTACTTCCTCTCTGCAGCCCCCTGCACATCCCCAAAATTTGCTCTGGAGAGTTGGCAGAGATTTGAAGCCAAATGAGAGGAAGGAAAAGTTTGTGTGAGTGAAAGTTTGCTCACACAAAATTGACTTTCATCCATAGATATAAGTTTCATTAGCCCATTCAGTAGTACAGACATTCAGTTTTGGGATGCATATTTGCCACCTCTTCAAGGTGTGGGCAAGGTGTGTGTTGGTGTATGTCTATATGTGTGCACAAGGAGAAGGTTTTTTGTTCTGATTTTAAATGAGCGATAATCTCAGGAAAATCTTGAGATGCATACTGTTTCCGTAATGGATGTTATATCATTTCTAAGTGGATTAATGTCCAATTGATAGTCTTAAACTGTACTCTCATTTTCCTAAACTGTAATGAAGTTAGTTTTTCTCTTTAAATTTTATTCAATATAGGTATTAGTGATAGAACAAAAAAATGAAGATGGAACATGGCCAAGGGGTCCTTCAGCTCCAAAGTAAGTGATTAAAACAAATCAGTGCTTCCCACAACATGGCTTATTGGATTTGCTTCTATACCCCAAAACATTTTCAACATGGTTTTGGAAACAGTACATTCATGTTAGTAATATATGCCTTTCCTTGGAAGAACAAGAATTATATTCTACAGGTTTATGTGGCTGGTAACTGTTCAGATGTTATTAAAGAGCATGTATTTCTGTAGACCTGTGGCTAAGTCATTATTGCAATATTAGGAATCTGGGCTAAATATGAATAGTTTCTTTTATATGGGAAAGATGTCAAAACTACTAATCATTGCTTATGTTATTGTCCTTATGACCTTTTTTAAATACTATGATTATTGATTGTCTTCCGTCTTCTGTCTTCTGTCTTCATTGTATTACAATAATAGGATTGAATAAGACCAATCCTGTGACTTATTGTATTTCTTGGTCACATTCTATGTCCATGGGCATACAAAGCAATGTACAGAAAAAGCCATAACATATTAAATTACGATATACAGAATATAGTTAAGGAGGGGGCTGGGGAAGGTCACTTTAGGAAGCATATTCCTAAATGGGTTATTATCAATTTTCCCCAAGGGTGCCTGGAACTGGCCACCATCACCACTTGACATTATTTATTTTTTAAAATGGTATGTTAGAAACAGGTCCATTTTGTACATCTGATAGGTCTAAATAAATATGTGGCTTTAAAAGCCCAGATTTCACTCCACAGTATGAATGGAAGGGCATTTCTTGAAGTTCAATATCTACTCGTATATTTTGAGTTTCGTTTCATTACTTACTTATTATTTAAATAGAATGTTAATGTTCTAAAATCTTTAGTCTTCTAAAATACATTGTGTAGAAAAGAGAAACAATAAGCCCTTTTGCTCCAAACAGTACATCTTAGTAGAGTACTAAAATATGCTTTTAAATATTTCATATAGCAGCTTCAAATAATTTTCATAAGGGTAAATGTAGCAAAAAGAACAAACACCCCGTTTCCTAATGAAATACCGTATTTTTTGCTCTATAAGACTCACTTTTTCCCTCCTAAAAAGGAAGAGGAAATGTGTGTGCGTCTTATGGAGCGAATGCAGGCTGCGCAGCTATCCCAGAAGCCAGAACAGCAAGAGGGGTTGCTGCTTTCGCTGTGCAGTGATCCCTCTTGCTGTTCTGGCTTCTGAGATTCATAATACTTTTTTTCTTGTTTTCCTCCTCCAAAAACTAGGGGCATCTTGTGGTCTGCTGCGTCTTATAGAGCGAAAAATGCGGTACTTCAAAACCTACCTATATTGCCATGTGATCCTGCTGAAAGCAAAAGGGAGAAAAGGAGAAGAAAATTCAAAAGATGTTGAAGGAGGCGTGGGAGAAGAGAGAGAGAGTGGAACAGTTTCCTTTTCTATAGAAATGCTGTAAATATAAACTGAAATGCAGAAGCTGATTCTGCATACTGTATCTAGATACAGATTAATATGTAGCCGTTGTATAAGCATGAAGATGTGTGGAAATAATTGCTAAAATTGAGCAAGTTTCCAAATTCAGCAGAATATGCGGCCAAGCAAACTTTGGATGCTTAAATACTTCCCCTAAGTGATAGAAAGCAATCAGACTGCTTTTAAGATTGAATGGTTATAGCTACAGGTGAAGTACCTCTACAAAATAATGTTTAATATCTGTAAGAATTTAACGTTTAATATTTACACTTTCAAAAATCCTCCAAAACTTGAATCTTTATACCGAATGTTATATATTTGGTTTTGGTATTGAAATAGATTTGGAGAAGGTTACAGTAGCCCGCTACTATGCTGTGTGCTGAATTATTCATTTGTATACTCAAGACTTTAACTTCACCTTTAAGACCTTGTTCATCTGGGCGTGATGAGTACCTGTACTGTGCAGTATACCCATTCTAATCTAAGGGAAATTGCACCCTAGAACAGATGGCCTTCCAGATGGTGTTGGACTCCCATTGACCCCAACCAGCACAGCGAATTCTCTGGAATGCTGAAAACTGGAGTACAACACATCTTGGAAGGGGCCACAGTTTCCCACCCCTATGCTAGAAAATGCAGACATTATCTGGTTAGCCACCAAGACACATGCCCAGTCAGAAAGTTGGAGGGAGGAATTCCATGTAGCACTGAGATCATGCCATCAGCGCCAGCCTTTTGGCTTGCAAGATCAGTCTTACATCCCCAGTGTACTGTTGTGGGAGTTCCCCTGACACACACATATTTGTGGGGTAGGGAGAGCGGCAAAAAGCCCAGTTGTGCTAGCCAGAGTCCTTGTGCTACCTTCCACTAGTAGGACTCGTTAGATGAATCTGACCCTTAAGGCACATTATTGAGTCATCCTACTGAAGGTTAGCAGGTTTGAATCTGGGTTTGGTCAAACAGGAGTCCCATGCACATTGACTTGAATTCCATTGTGGGGAAAGGTGGGATATAAATGTATTAAATAATAATAAATAATATGTCAGCACATCAAAGAAGCCATTGGGCCTTGCTTCAACATGTTAGATTTTTAGGTGCTAATATTTGTTGTGATGCTGCTTTGTTACAGGCAGTTCCTTACCTAGATGCTAGACACGTGTACTTAAACACATTAAATCAGCTTTTGTCTGCATTCTTCAGATACTTCAATCAGTCACATCACTGATGAAAGTCATTTTAGCTCTCTTTCCATGTTGATAATTCATCTTAATACATGCCAAGTGCTTGGGTGTTCATATATTCTTGTTTCGCTATTCTTTTTAGTTGTGTGACCCATATTTTAGGTTATGTTATAGGTATGTAATTGTTTGTTACTTTTACATTTTGTTTAGCTCATAATTGAAGGTTTAGATATTTGACTAGTAGTAGAAGTAATGGCTTGTAATGAATTATTTACACTTTATTCCACCCAGTATGAGATTCCATAGTCACTTTGGTTTACATTGAGGTCCTCCATTGCTATTAGAAAACAGATAAACAGAGGACTCTCAAAGAATAATATTAATTGTGAAATGAAAAACTTTTTCAGAAATGTCTTTAAGCAGTAATTAATCAAAGCCCCCCCCAAAATAAAAGTTTTTATTTTCAAAAGTATCCTGATTAAAACTTTTTATTCACATGAATGTTTACTTTATTAAATTAAACATTTTCATGAAGTCATGGAGGCTGCATACACTCTTGAATGTGATTTATAATACATATACCATATTACTCTCTGCAAATATTAGTTTTACTGTTAATTGTTGTTATATTGACAACAAAGTCAAGAATTCTCCTATCTCCTTGAACTCAATAGGAGTTCAAACACAACTGGTTTAGTTGGTCATTATTCTTTCTGACAATGGGTATGCAAGATGTACCGTATTTTTCGCACCATAGGACACACTTTTTCCCTCCTAAAAAGCAAGGGAAAATGTGTGTGCGTCCTATGGAGCGAATGCAGGGGGGAGGCAGGCGGGAAAAGCCCCCAAGAGCCGCACACAAGCTCCGTGCGCTCTTGTGGGCTTTTCCACAGGAGGGAGAAGGGACTGACTGGCCGCATCAGTCCCTTCTCCCACCTCCCAGGAAAGCCAGGAGAAGCCGTGCAGCCCTTTTAAAGTGCGCGCGGCTTCTGTCGGTTTTGCGGGAGGTGGCGGAATTCCCCCACCTCCCAGAAAAGCCAGGAAAGCCCCGCGCAGCATCTCCCGGCAAGGATGGATCCCGCTCGCTGCCTTGCCTTCTTCCATAGCTGCGCGCAACCCCTCCGCAAGGAGAGGCTGCGCAGGGCTAAAGGGGAAGGCAAAACAGCAAGCGGGATCCATCCCGCTCGCTGCCTTGCCTTCTTCCATAGCTGCGCGCAACTCCTCCGCAAGGAGAGGCTGCGCGGGGCTAAAGGGGAAGGCAAAACAGCAAGCGGGATCCATCCCGCTCGCTGCCTTGCCTTCTTCCATAGCTGCGCGCAACCCCTCCGCAAGGAGAGGCTGCACGGGGCTATGGCTTCTTTAGCCTTGCGCAGCGTCTCCCAGCAAGGAGAGGCTGCATGGGGCTAAAGGGGAAGCCAAAATTTGGCTTGCTCCATAGCTGCGCGCAACCCCTCCGGCAGGGAGAGGTTGTGCGCACCCTGTACGCTGCTCTTTGGGGCTGGGGGGGGAAGATTTTTTTCTTGATTTCCCCCCCTAAAAACTGGGTGCGCCCTATGGTCCGGTGCGCCCTATGGTGCGAAAAATACGGTACTCATATCTTTATATCTAAGCAGTCTCATGTAGCCAAATACTTTTCTTAAATGCTTTGCTTCTGGGCCATTTAGCTAACTCTTCTGAGGATGAGATAGGTAGCTTAGGGTAGAACATATTCTTTTTTGCACATAGAATATCCTAGGTTCAATCTCTGACATTTCCACATATAGCTAGGAAAGGATCTGTCTGGAAACCAGATCTAATCAGTCTACGCAATGATACGCTATGTGGACCATTGTCATGACTCAGTTTAAGGCAGATTCCTATGTTTCTGTGATAATTAACAATATTCAAATTAGCTTCTCCTAATCTTGAATATTTGGACTGTTGGAATCAGTAACTCTTGGATCCAATTTTCATTTTCCAGCCTTCCACATGGAAGGCTGTTAGAAACTCTTTCCTCACGTCAGGAACCAATCTGTGTATTTTTCAAACTGCTTACTACACTATTTAATTATATTGCACGGGTAGTCCCAGGACGGCATGTTCCTCACAGTCTTTAACCAGGCATATGCATGTAGCACGTGGCTTGTAAATGTTAGTCTTTTTTGTAATTCTGTCTCAAAGCTAAAAGCTGTGCTCAAGACCACCACACTCACCCACCCTGGAACCGTGTCTCCTCATGTGTTGGATTTAATGTAAAAATTGGCTGAGAGGGTCAGATAACATGAAGGAATCGTTCGTTATGAAACCTTACCAGTATTTGGTTATGTCTCATTTAGCAGGACTGTAAAAATACTGAAGTTTATTATAGGCCAGAACTCTTTAGTGCACTTCATTCTACGGCATGCTGTGTTTGCTTTCCTTTTTGTGCATTTAGCAATTGCCGAGGACAACAGATTCTAACTGACAATTTCTCCTGTTGGCATGGTTTCTCTTAAGTTCTAGCATCTGGTGACTAAATGTGAGCAAATTAGCTTGGTAGACTAAGATGAAATGAATCAATTTTGACATGGGGTGTGATCCAAAATGCTCTGTATACAATGACACTGCTTTTATGAAAGAAAGTCATAAAGTCACCCAAGTATTATTCATCATATGTGTCTCTTAATGTTTGTGGTACATTCTCTTGTTAGCGGAATGTGCTTTGTATGCCATAAGACCCATTCAGGCGTGGCTACGATTCTTTATATTGGGATCCCTTAATTGACTTTAATATATTTAAATCTTGCAGAAGCAAGCTTCCATGTCTGTATATCTAATTTTGTCCTCAGTTTCCTCTTTGTTTTGGTATACAGACAAGGAATCTTGCTTCTGCGAACGTAGTGCCCCTAGATGGATTGGAGGTCATAGAGATGTATTTGACCAACAAATTCTTAATATACTGCTTTTAGTAGTAGGGTAATAGTAGTGTGGTTCTTCTATACAAAAAATAGTAAAAAAAAAAAAAAGACAAAACACCCAAAAGACATTTCTTTAAGGCAGCTTTGTCCCCAGCTTTGTCTCAGTCTGAATTGAGGGGCCCAGGCCTGCTATTTTCAATGGGAAGAAAGCTATCGGCAAATATTTTAATAACTCTGGGATTAATTCCTCAGAATGAATCCTAACTCATAGACCGGATGCACCAACAATGGAAGTGAATAAAAGATTCCTTCTTCTGATTTTGCAATAGCTGACTATGTAAAACTGTGGGTTACCTTGACCATGTACAGTTTTGTGGGTCACCTCAAAGATCCAAGAGTTGCCAAACTAATTGTGTGAGTTTAGCTATTCTCAGCTAAAACAATGTAGAACATTTCCATGCTGAGGTAGGGTTGTTTAACCATCCCTGAATAACCACACATTTCTGATTAAAATAACCCCATGTGTAGACTGGGGGCATTTGAGCATTGCAAACTACTTTTGAAACTGCATGACATTTTAGAATCAGATTGAGTCAGCATGGGTATCAGCTGTTCAAAAAGGTTGCTTGATCCCATAGAAAACACCCCTTTGTATCCTCGTCATGATTTATGATTAGAATGTTAATACAAAATTGATGAACTAATCTGATGAATTATTGTAAATGGATTATAATTTCTGTATTACCTCGCTTGCTCACTCCCACCTCCCCAGCATGCACATAATTTTAATATATGCTTCTCTATTATTGTCAGTTCATTTTATGGTGTGTACTTATTATTTAGGGGACCACAGCACATCATTACTATGCTTGTTTTTCCCCAAAGCTTTGTACTGCTCATTACAGTTCTATGGTATATAATAAATTACCTTTTCTTTACACTCGGAAGGGATTATTGCTTCTTATGTCAATTGTGAAGATTAGGAATATATTTGAAACATAGCTGCTAAGTTGACTTTGAAGATGGAATTGATCGGAACATGGAAAAATAAAATCCCACTCCATACCAAGACATTGAAGGATTGTACTTTCACATTAAATGTTTATTATTATTATTAATAATAATACCCCGTCCAACACATATGGCCTCCAACACATACAAAAATGTAATGAAACATCAAACAGTAACAATCTGATCCAATATAAAAAGTCACAGTAACTTTAAAATAAACAATTTATATCAAATAAAGCAACATTCAGCCATCCATCAGAATCTAATTGTAAACAGTAAAATTAAACATCAGCAAATAATAATTAAACAGTTTACACTTATCAACCACAATAAAGAATTACCAATCTATAAGCAATAAAAATGACAGCAAACCACAATGCATAAAATACCACAAAACATACAAAACCATGTAGAAGGATCAAACTGAGAAACAAGGGCACACAATCATACATTTACTATCTATGTGTGACCCTCTTCCCCCAAATGCAATTATTATCTTTAAGAAATATAGATGAGACTTCTCGTTAAGGCTACAACATTATAGAGGCTACAGACTAGGACTGCTACAAAATGTTGCAGTCTATACTCTACCACTCAGTATTCCATCCATGGCTGCCTCAGAACGCTAATGGCTCAAGTGTGCCTTTCCGTGAAGATTTATTAAAAATTCTTCCAATAATAAACTTGCATACTTCTGCAAACATATGCAGAAACTACTATTTTATTTTGGAGTGGTCCTGATTTGCTTCCTTAATTGTAGGAATGATGGAGGGAACTAGTAGAAAAATGTTACGTTGTTCCCAAAACCTCTGAGAGGGAATAGTCTTGCTCATTAAGTCTGGAATGGAGGCATGTTTAGGCCTCATTGTAAGGTTGGGTGGAGAAAGGTAGGCAACTTTAGAAGTGATTAAAGGATTAAGAACTCCTTTTCCCATCTTTCCCTGGTGTGCTAGGTAGTGTCAGAGGGCTGCCAGCCCCAAACCTGAGAATTTGCTAGCTGTTTAGTTAGGCAGTTGGGGATGGGAATATATGCAGATTTTCCTTTTTTCCTTCTTATTTTTCAGTGAACAAGAGCATTCCAACCATATAGTGGCTCGATACATTCTCACAGTCTGCCTACCTTTATTTTCAATACACCCTTCCTTTGGTGGAAAATTCATTGAATTTTCCATAAGGCTCACCATCGCCATCTAGTGTCACATTGTCTATTGCTCTTAAAATACACTTAAAACGTGAATATCTGAGTATTTCTCTCTATGCTTAACTACTATCAGGATTCTGTAAACTCGGATGGGTTTTTTATTTTATTTACAAACTTTGATACTCTTGTGTACCTAGAGAGTGTCCCAAGTATGGAGGAGTTACCATCTTATTTTCATTCCATTTTGCTTTCAAATGATTGGCCTTCAACCACCTGATTTCACTCTTCAAGGGAGTGGTTAGTGGTGATAGACGTTACTGGCTAAAAACAAACTTAGAACAGAAGAGCCTTTTTTTAAGTGTTTAAAGCAAGGATCAGAATGTGGCTGTTCCCTGGATGTAACATTCTAAACTCTCTTGATGAGTGATTATACTTTATTGATAG